AGAAACCCTTCCGTCTGTAGCCTCAAGGGCCCACCTCCAAGGGAAGGCTTAGGCAATGATCCTGTTTCTACCAACACCACACCTTATCCCAAGAACGTGCCCTAGACCTCCAGTGACCATATTTTCTCTCCCTCCATTTCTACCCAGACCTCCAGGCCTCCTTCTGGAATCATAGAACCTTAGAACTGGAAGGAATTTTAGAGGTTATCTAGTTGGAGTTGTATCCAACAGAGTTCATTAACACCAGCCTGGGCCTCTTTTTCCTCCTCCCTCTGGATTTTTTTCATCTTTTCCTCCACCTCAAAAAACACTGGCACACAGATTCTTCTTGTATAGGCACCAAAACCAGCTCCTCTGCCCCTAAGGCTGTGTCCCTATGATCTCCAGCCACCCCTGCCCCAGTCACTCACCCCTTCCTCATCTCTGGAATTTGGCCAGGTAGTCCCAGAAGACTCTGGAGTGACCTCCTTTGCTTAAAAAGCACACAGATAGGCATGCTGCAGGCTGTGAGTGTGTGAGCAGAGGAGGACTGGAGGGTGAGAGGGAAAGAAAATGAGGGTAACTTTCATGGAAGATTCATATATTTTCCCCGATTGTACCAACCGCATGTATTTTTGGCCTGGCTGCAAGGAGCAATATTGGTTTACTCTCGTATCCTTGAAAAGTTACAGAACTGTGTCTTAAGAGAATTATTTATAGTTACTATAACTGAGTTGACAAATGTCAACTTAACTGATAAATTATATTTGGTAAAATAAAGAGGACGTTTATTTAAAAAAAAAATCTAATCATTCAGAGTGAATAGTCACCTCTGCTCTGACTCATTTTTTTGCACCATATATGCCTGTGTCCCATCAGGTATTTTTTTTTCTGATTTCAAATCTGCTTTCAAATTCTGTTGCATTTCCATATCCACTGCTACTATTCCACTAAACATTTAACATTTCATAATTATTTTGTATCTTTTTGTGACAAAAGAAAAAATCTTATGTGTTGTATGTATCTATTTCTTCTGCCTTTACCCACCTGAAGGTTAATATTAAGTCCAATTTCAGTTTTTAAAAAATTGGAAAAATAGAAAGAAAAGTATCCTTCTGCTTCTATTTCCTGTCCACTCTATGAGGGCTTTCTTTTTTTTTTTTTTTTTAAATCTCAGGTCTGTACAAGGGCTAGCTCATGTGTACTCATCAACACAGCTTTCATGTAGCAGGAAAGGTTGCCCTTCAATCCTTTCCTGACTCCAAACACTTGGGATATCTACTGCTGCAACCCCTGTAGCCCATGAAATCTCATGGGAGTCCCCTCATTCCTGCCACTACTGCAAACAGCCCTGTGATCCCTGGATCCTTCTGAAGAAATTCCACTAAGTTGTGCTGGATGGCAACTGGCTGAATCTTCTGCAATACACTTCAGGGTTGTGCTGTGCAATCAATAAACTCCTTCAAAGAATAGAGAAAATTCTCCTGCCTTTGAACCACATTTTGTTAGTTTCATTCCTTTTGTTCCTTATCCTTCCCCTTTCTCAGCAGATTTTGTAAGTTAAACTATTCTTTACCCCTTGGACAGAATGGAAAGCCCAAGTACTCTTTTGATTTGACTTCTAGCCTGACTGAAAAACCTAGCTTCCCGTAGGTGTGTTGACCTCATGAAAGGGGAGTGTGGTAGCAAGTGTTTTCCTAATTAGCCACATGAGGCATAGAGTTGCTTTTCCCTAAGTCTAAGGCTTAGGGAGCCCCCGAGGAGAGAGCCCTTTAGAAGAAAGCCTTTCTCCCACTTAGCAATTCCCTGTGAAGCCTAGAGTTGTGGCTGTGGTTACAACCTTCCTACTTATTGGCCTGCAGAGCAATGAAGATGGAGACATTTGGAAAAGAAGTGACTCTGTTGGTTTCTGGAAGAGGTAGATGGACTGAGGGGTGGACTTTCTACTTTGAGATATGAGTGAATGACTTTGTTTTCTAGATATTGGGGGACAATTGTCACAGAACGGTATTTCCTATTGGACTTTAAGGAAGGACTTGTGGACATTTTGTTGAGATTGTGATAACACATGAGGTAGAGGAAAGGACCATAACTTAGGGATGGAGGGCTTTGGTGAGTGTGTGTCCTACAATTAGAGGTAGTCATAAGATAACAAATACCTGGACTAAATCTATCACATTGTGTCTGACCCACTAGCTCTGTGACTCTTCCACAACTCTACTATTTTCTGAGCTAAATTCTAATCTGGGATGTTTGTATTATATTTAGTGGCATCAGGACAGGCTCTTAAGAACAAAGGAATGTCAGGACAACTAGTGGAGCTTATGGTTGAGATTCTGGAGTATCCATTCCTACAGAAAATAGGAGAGTCCCGTTAGGTTTAACTTTGCTCCCAAGACTCTGTATCAAATTGCCTTCCTATAGGCGTCCTCTTTCCTTCTTAAAGACTCCAGTTCCTAAAGACCTACCTTTTTTAAAAAAAATTTCCAGTTTACAATTTTCTAATTCAAAACTGTACTGGACATAGAGCTTAATGCTAGTTTCCCTGTTTATCTCCCTACTGCCTCTGTAAGCAGAACACACAACAATTATACGGGTATCATTTTCTATCACAGTAGGAAAGCCTGTTGGGGATAATACAATCATAAGATATTGGGATGACAAAATAATTTTAAAATCTCGTATACAGCCACATTATCTGTTCTTCTTAAAGGCCCAGGTTTGAGTTGGAGCCCTATAGAGAGCCAGTATAAGGTTTTCAGAGAATTGACAGCTTTGCATTTAGGAAAGATTATTTCAGTAGCTATGTGAAGAGTGAGTTGTAGTAAGACAAGTCTGGAAACAATAAGCCCAGATAAGAGTCATTAAGTTAAAAATGGCTAGAGTGTAAATTACTTTTTATGAACCTCTATTTTTTATGTAAAAGTTTTCTTCAAGAAAAACAAGGAAATTTTCACCTCATATTTTCCTGTTTCAACATAGACCTACTATTTTGCTGTATGCATAAAAAGCAAGAGAAAAAAATTGTGGTTGCCATATGCCAAGCTGGGTTCTTATTTGTGGATAGCCTCTGGTATTATGGTTTCCAAATAATTTTATCTATTTGTTGTATCCACTGGCAGTTCACAGCTGTCTGACTGTTTTGGTGGATATCAGTAGCTTTCTCTATTTAGAGATCCCATCTTCACCTCAGTACCAAGTCAAGAGTCAGAATTCTGCCAAGCAAACAAACATTTATTAGCACACAGGCAAAAACATACTACTATTAGGCCTTTTCCTGGAAGCTCATGGAAGTCTCAACTCTTTTTCCTTATGCTTTCTGGTTAGTATAATAAATGAAAGTTTCTATCAAAGATAAAATGTAACAAAATTCTCTCCAGTAGAAAAGCCAGCTTTCTAGTGACATTAGGTAATAAATATCCCTTTAAAGAGGGAACACAGGAATGAATGGATCATGTGCCTATTGTACCTCTCCAAGCTCTACAGGCTGCCTAACTCATCATATTTTACATCCCTGCAAGCCGGAGGTTAGGTATACTTTCAGCCAATCAACACATCTTGATCACCTGGTTTTTCATTTAAAAAAATTTTCTGTCTGCCATTGGTTCTTAACTGGCACAAATTTTCTTGTACTTCTTCCCTACAGGGACATTTAGTGATTTCTAGGACCATTTTGGTAGTCATGATGGAGGGAGGAGTCTATGCTACTGACACCTGATAGGTGAGACCAGGAGTGACTGCTAGACATTCTATAATGCATGAACAGCCTCGCCTTCTCTCCAAGCAATGAATTGTCTGTTCCAAAACGTCAATAATGCTGAAGTTGACAAAATGTGCTTTACATTCATTAATAAACTCTACAGTGTGGATACAGATAAGAATATTTGAAGATCTTGTCAAATCTGCCTCTTGAGGTAGACTATTGATTAAAGTATTTCAAATGTTAGCAAATTACACCTAGAATGTAATTTCTAGATTAGCGCACTTCAACCATAACTAACCCCCTGTGAAAGTTAATACCGAGTGTCAACTTGATTAGATTGACGGATGCAAAGTATTGATCCTGGGTGTGTCTGCGAGGATGTTGCCAAAGGAGATTAACTTTTGGGTCAGTGGGCTGGGAAAGGCAGACTCACCCTTAATCTGGGTGGGCACCATCTAATCAGCTGCCAACGTGGCTGGAATATAAAGTAGGCAGAAAAACATGAGAAGACTAGACTGACCTGGCCTCCCAGCCTACATCTTTTTCCTGTGCTGGACCCTTCCTGCCCTCAAACATCAGACTCCAAGTTCTTCAGTTTTGGGACTCGGACTGGCTTTCCTTGCTCCTCAGCTTGCAGACAGCCTATTGTGGGACCTTGTAATAGTGTGAGTTAATATTTAATAAGCTTCCCTTTAACTATATATATATATATATATATATATCTCCATCTCCTATTACTTCTGTCCCTCTAGAGGACCCTAATACACCCCCTTTAGGGTGTAGATTAGATTAATTTGCACATCCATATATATCACATGAGATTAGCCTGTTGTCTTAAATTATATTCAGTGGAATATTTGGATTTTTTCTTCTCATTCATTTGTTAATAATGAGTGAGACTAAGGGAAGCTGGTAAACATACTTTAGTTTTAAATATGCCGACTTAAAAATGAGCTTATTCTTATCCACAGAGGGTATCATTTTGTCATAATCCATTCTGTGTCCCCAATACTTCATCTCAAAAAACATAAAAATGTCTACTTACTTAAATTGTTTCTAATTTGCTGTTATAATAAATATTCTAGCTAATATTGTCATATATCTCTTTTTAATATCTGAAATATTTCTCCTAGACTACATAGTGAAAGGCAGGCTCTAAATAGTCTTAAACTCTCAATATAAATTGCCAAATTGCCATTCAGGGGAGTTTATACCAATTTATATGTCTAACTAGCAATACTGTTAGCTTATCCAACAGAATAATTAACAACATAAGTTATAATTACTAAAAAACATTTGGAAATTTGACAAGATAACTTCGTATTTTGCAAAATAACTCACATAGTATATTTTATTTGACCAGCCTAATTTCAAGGCTGTTTAGCTGCTTGAAAAGAAAGTTTTTATTTGTTCTTCATATGTACTTAGAATGCTAACTGTGTTTTATTAGCCAACAAGTGAAACCGCTGAAAATATGGATCCAGAGAATGAGACAATGGTGACTGAGTTTCATTTCTCTGATTTTCCTCAATCTAAGAATGGCAGGCTGTTATTCTTCATTCCTATGCTCTTTATTTATATATTCATTATTGTTGGAAATTTCATGATTTTCTTTGCTGTCCAACTGGACCCCCGTCTCCATAATCCTATGTACAATTTTATCAGTGTCTTCTCCTTCCTGAAGATTTGGTACACCACCATGACTATCCCCAAGATGCTCTCCAACCTTCTCAGTGAACAGAAAACCATCTCTTTCATAGGCTGCCTCCTGCAGATGTATTTCTTCCACTCACTCGGGGTCACAGAAGCCCTAGTCCTCACAGTGATGGCCATTGACAGGTATGTAGCCATCTGCAACCCCCTTCGCTATGCAATCATTATGACCCCTCGACTGTGCATCCAGCTCTTCACTAGCTCTTGCATTTTTGGCTTCTTCATGTTATTGCCAGAGATTGTGTGGATTTCTACTCTTCCATTCTGTGGCTCCAACCAAATTCATCAACTCTTTTGTGACTTTGAACCTGTGCTGCAGTTGGCCTGCACAGATACATCCATAATTCTGGTTGAAGATGTGATCCATGCTATTTCCATTCTGACTTCTGTCTCTGTCATCACCCTTTCCTATTTAAGAATCATCACGGCGATCCTGAGGATTCCCTCTGGTAAGAACCATCAGAAGGCTTTCTCCACGTGTGCAGCCCATGTTGCTATTTTCTTGCTGTTTTTTGCAGTGTGGCACTCATGTATCTGCGCTTCTCTGTCACGTTCCCACCACTACTGGACAAGGCCATTGAACTGATGTTTGCTGTCCTTGCCCCACTTTTCAACCCAATAATCTATAGTCTGAGGAACAAAGATATGAAAAACGCCATCAAGAAAATCCTCTGTTCTCAAAAGATGTTTGATGCCTCTGGGAGCTAATGGGAGTTCACACACATCTCTTCAAAGAAATCTCATCATCTCCTTAAGTTTAAAATGCTAACAAATCAGTTTTTTAAAATTACCATGCACTTTTTCCTTTTTTAAAAAAAATTTAAAGAAATTTTGGCATGTATTTTCAAAGTGAAGTATCTAATGATTTTTAATATGAATAAAACGGTACTAAGTTGTGTGTCTATACATTTCAATTTATAGGTCTTATATTTCTAAGGCTATAATAAGTATGATTTATAAATGTTATAACTTTTGCTTAAAAAGTTAAGCTGTAAAAACAAAAACCAAAATGAATACGTTAAGCTTTAAAGATATTTAAATGATTGTAAAACCTTCTTATACATTTATCTACATTGTTCTCTTTTCCTGCACTCTGCATTTCTTTGTGAAAATCTGTATTCATCTGGTGTCATTTTCCTTCCACCTGAGAAGCTTCCTTCAACTTTTCTCATACCGTGGGTCTGAAGATGATTAATCTTTTTTGCTTTTGTAAGTTTCAACAAAGCTTTGTAAATCTGAGCAAGTCTTTTATTTTGTCCTCATTTTATAAGATGTTTTTTCGGGATATAGAAGTCCAAAATATAAGATTTTTTTTCTTTGTTTACATGAGTTAAAGATGTTGGTCTACTTTGTTCTCACTTGCATTGTTTTTGATGAGTAGCCTGCTGACATCCTTGCTTGTGTTTCACAGTATGTTATGAATGTCTTTTATCATCTCTTTTATTTTTTAGTTCTCATTTATAAGTGGAGCTAAACATAGAGGTTACATGGACATAAATACGAAAACAATAGACACTGTGGACTATCAGAGGGTATGGAGGGGTGGGTAAAACAACCACCTATCAGCTAATACGCTCACTACCTGAGTGACAAGATCTGTACTCCAAACCCCAGTTTCACGCAAAATCCCCCTGTAACAAATCTGCACATAAACCCACTGCACGTGTTTTGATTTATGCTGTTGATTTGCTATACTTTCCAATTTTCTAATGTAAGGACTAATGTTTGATCTGACGGGATGTCTGCTATAGATTTACCTATGTTTCTATCGTTCACAGATTATAATAGAATATTTTCTTCACTTTGTAACTTCAGGTAGTGTGATGTCATCTTCCCCAAATCAAAAGAGAATACTGGCCTAAACGACAATCATATTTATTACTTTATAATTAAGTAAATCATATTTATTACTTTCTAAGTGTTTCCATTATGAAATTTTTCATTTAATATTTACAATACCCTTATGTCAGGTTTTTTTTTCACTGTAAAAAGATTAACAAGATGCACACCAGTGAACTGATTTGGGCTTGGAAAAGAAGCCTGGCTCCTTAACACTCAGTCCAGAGACCTTTACCCCTCCATCAATTGTCCTCTGATCTATCACAATGATTATGCGGCACATAGAGTCACTGAACTTGCGATGTTTGTATAATGCTGTTACATGAATTCCTTTATGGATTAATTTTCACATCATTTTGTAGATGTCAGAGCAAATGCTCTTGGGTCCTTGAAGATTAAATAGATATGTAATATATAGGCTTAGGACCAAAAACACAAATACACAAATTATACAAAGATACATAGTTATATTTTGGTAAATTTTAAAAAATTAATGTCACTACTATTGAAAACATTCCATGTTCTGGTTATGTTATGTTATGTTACATTACGTTATGTTAAAATGCTGTGCAGTTTTATATCTCAACATCTTTGTTCTCATTGCATTTTTGCTCTGGAGTGTTGCTCCCTTTCTTCTTCTCTGCTTTGGAGCTTATATTCAGAAAGTTCACACACACATTTTATCTTCTGAGATAAACGTCCCTGCCTTCCTCCCACAAAACTACACTAGCATTTTTAAGAGCTGAGTAAATTGTCTCTAGAAAAGGAGTTTTGCTCAGCTCCTGTGGAGAAAAAAGCAGGGACACAGGGCAACTGCCAGTGGAATCATAATGATCAGGAGGCCAGCTAGAGGTGTGGTGAGAAAATAAGCAGATCGTAGTGGAAATATCAATAGTGTTGGTCAACAAAAGTCCCAATCAACTGTTTTCAGGCAGGCAGTTAAATTCTTCTATCTGCTTAGGAGTGCTAAAGTGGAAAAAAGACCTTAGTCCCAACTTCAGTGCAGCTCCAGACCTTGTTTTCTCCCCTGCCTTGTGGACCCAGCCCTACCATTTGTCCCTTCTCACTCCTGTATCATTAAATCCTCTCCTGCATTGATATGAGATTTTAAATATTGATGACAACACATTTTGCATGAAGAAAATTATATATGTTTCTTCGATTATGCAATTTAAATTTATTTGAGGTAAACATTAAAAAAAAACTTAGGTCTTCTTTAATTCTTTGAATTCCCACTTAAAAACCTTAGTATTCTATTTATAAATCTAATACATTTTATTCATTTTTAAAGGTGTTACACATATATTTTGTCTGATTCATAAACTTGGCATTTAATTCTCTTTAAACTATGTTTAAATATGATCTATTTCATTTATTTATTTATTTATTTATTTTTTATTATACTTTAAGTTCTAGGGTGCATGTGCACAACATGTGGGTTTGTTGCATATGTATACTGGTGCCATGTTGGTGTGTTGCACCCATCAACTTGTCAGCACCCATCAACTCGTCATTTACATCAGGTATAACTCCCAATGCAATCCCTCTCCCCTCCCTCCCCATGATAGGCCCCAGTGTGTGATGTTCCCCTTCCCGAGTCCACGTGATCTCATTGTTCAGTTCCCACCTATGAGTGAGAACATGCAGTGTTTGGTTTTCTGTTCTTGTGATAGTTTGCTGAGAATGATGGTTTCCAGCTGCATCCATGTCCCTACAAAGGACGCAAACTCATCTTTTTTTTTTTTTTTTTTTTTTTTTTTTTGAGACAGAGTCTGGCTCAGTTGCCCAGGCTGGAGGGCAGTGGCCAGATCTCAGCTCACTGCAAGCTCCGCCTCCCAGGTTCACGCCATTCTCGGGCCTCAGCCTCCGGAGTAGCTGGGACTACATGCGCCCGCCACCTCACCTGGGTAGTTTTTTGTATTTTTTAGTAGAGACGGGGTTTCACCAGGTTGGCCAGGATGGTCTCGATCCCTTGACCTCGTGATCCGCCCATCTTGGCCTCCCAAAGTGCTTGGATTACAGGTTTGAGCCACCACACCCAACCAAACTCATCCTTTTTTATGGCTGCATAGTACTCCATGGTGTATATGTGCCACATTTTCTTAATCCAGTCTGTCACTGATGGACATTTGGGTTGATTCCAAGTCTTTGCTATTGTGAATAGTGCTGCAATAAACATATGTGTGTATGTGTCTTTATAGCAGCATGATTTATAATCCTTTGGGTAAATACCCAGTAATGGGATGGCTGGGTCATACGGTATTTCTAGTTCTAGATCCTTGACGAATCACCATACTATTTTCCACAATGGTTGAACTAGTTTACAATCCCACCAAGAGTGTAAAAGTGTTCCTATTTCTCCACATCCTCTCCAGCCCCTGTTGTTTCCTGACTTTTTAATGATCGTCATTCTAACTGGTGTGAGATGGTATCTCATTGTGGTTTTGATTTGCATTTCTCTGATGGCCAGTGATGATGAGCATTTTTTCATGTGTCTGTTGGCTGTGTGAATGTCTTCTTTTGAGAACTGTCTGTTCATATCCTTTGCCCACTTTTTGATGGGGTTGTTTGTTTTTTTCTTGTAAATTTGTTTGAGTTCTTTGTAGGTTCTAGATATTAGCCCTTTGTCAGATGAGTAGATTGCAAAAATTTTCTCCCATTCTGTAGGTTGCCTGCCCACTCTGATGGTAGTTTCTTTTGCTGTGCAGAAGCTCTTTAGTTTAATTAGATCCCATTTGTCAATTTTGGCTTTTGTTGCCATTGCTTTTGGTGTTTTAGACATGAAGTCCTTGCCCATGCCTCTCCTGAATGGTATTACCTAGGTTTTCTTCTAGGGTTTTTATGGTTTTAGGTCTAATATTTAAGTCTCTAATCCTTCTTGAATTAATTTTCGTATAAGGAGTAAGGAAAGGATCCAGTTTCAGCTTTCTACTTATGGCTAGCCAATTTTCCCAGCACCATTTATTAAACAGGGAATCCTTTCCCCATTTCTTGTTTCTCTCAGGTTTGTCGAAGATCAGATGGCTGTAGATGTGTGATATTATTTCCGAGGGCTCTGTTCTGTCCTATTGGTCTATATCTCTGTTTTGGTACCAGTACCATGCTGTTTTGGTTACTGTAGCCTTGTAGTATAGTTTGAAGTCAGGTAGCGTGATGCCTCCAACTTTGTTCTTTTGACTTAGGATTGTCTTGGCAATGCAGGCTCTTCTTTGGTTCCATATGAACTTTAAAGCAGTTTTTTTCCAATTCTGTGAAGAAACTCATTGGTAGCTTGATGGGGATGGCATTGAATCTATAAATTACCTTGGGCAGTATGGCCATTTTCATGATATTGATTCTTCCTATCCATGAGCATGGTATGTTCTTCCATTTGTTTGTGTCCTCTTTGATTTCACTGAGCAGTGGTTTGTAGTTCTCCTTGAGGAGGTCTTTACATCCCTTGTAAGTTGGATTCCTAGGTATTTTATTCTCTTTGAAGCAATTGTGAATGGAAGTTCATTCATGATTTGGCTCTCTGTTTGTCTGTTACTGATGTATAAGAATGTTTGTGATTTTTGCACATTAATTTTGTATCCGGAGACTTTGCTGAAGTTTCTTATCAGCTTAAGGAGATTTTGGGCTGAGATGATGGGGTTTTCTAAATATACAATCATGTCATCTGCAAATAGGGACAATTTGACTTCTTCTTTTCCTAACTGAATACCCTTTATTTCTTTCTCTTGCCTGATTGTCCTAGCCAGAACTTCCAACACTATGTTGAATAGGAGTGGTGAGAGAGGGCATCCCTGTCTTGTGCCAGTTTTCAAAGGGAATGCTTCCAGTTTCTGCCCATTCAGTATGATATTGGCTGTGGGTTTGTCATAAGTAGCTCTTATTATTTTGAGATATGTTCCATCAATACAGAATTTATTGAGAGTTTTTAGCATGAAAGGCTGTTGAATTTTGTCAAAGGC